GTCGTAGTCGTAGTAGTAGGAGTAGTAGTAGTAGTAGTAGTAGTAGTAGGAGGAGGAGGAGTGGCAGCAGCAACAGAAGACTGGCAAGAACAATAGGAAACTGATAGGCGACGTCAGAGCCCCCCAACAAGACGTGCCTGTCTCCGAAGGAGTGCATGATGTCCTTGAGGCCCTTGGGGTCCAAGGTCCCCCTCTTCGTGAGATCAAGCGCCTGCAAAGCATCGCAACTGGAGCTTCAGAAGAGGAGGCCGTGGGAACCTGTTGGTGGACAGGTTCCCGACGCTGTGCGAAAATTTAGAGGCTGGGGTTCAGGGTTTTCTTTAGATGCAATGGGACTTTCGCGCTCCAGCGCACAGTCTGGATTTCAGGCCTGCATGCGAGTTTAGGGTTGTATTTGCAGTGCAATGGCAATGGCCTTTTCTGTGCGTTTAGGGTTTGGGGTTTAGGGTTTAGGGTTTAGGGTTTATTGGATTCTTCCTTCGGCCGTGACTGAAAAAAAGGGCCCTCAGATTCAGGTTTGGTTGCGAAACCCTAAACCCTAAACCCGGGGGGCGGAGGTGAGTTTGGAGCCGAAGTCTAGCCCTGAACCGCAGAATTCGGATTTCGGGCTTGGAGACTAAGGCTCAAGGAATTTGGGAGCATTGAGGGTGGGTTGAGGGTTTAGGGTTTAGGGTTTAGGGTTTAGGGTTTAGGGTTTAGGGTTTAGGGTTTAGGGTTTAGGGTTGGGGGGTCTGGGCATTTTCGGGTTTATGCAGGCAGAGCGAGCACAGGCGTGGTTCGGCCTGCAGAGCCTCGCACAGCTGGTACTCGTTCAGCAAAGGCAGTTCGGCAGCCTGCAGAAGACGGGGCTTAGCGTTTAGGATTTCGGGTTTAGGATTTTGGTGGCTTCGGGTGTGGGGTGTTCAGGGGTGTCGGGGGTGATTGTCGCAATTCAAGTCTACCTTGCAAGCTTTAAGCATGACAACAATAGTGACGATGGCGGACGATAATGACTATGGGGAGGATGAGGCTCCAGACGACAATGATGGCGATGAGAACGACGAGGAGCTTGATGAAGATGATGACGACGACAATGAGAAGGAGCAGGGTACTGTTTAGGGTTTAGGGTTTAGGGTTTAGGAGGCTCCAGACGACAACGATGGCTTCTGAGGTTCAGGAGGCAGAGGAGGAAGAGGATGGTTGTCGTCGGATGCCGTCGCCACAAGTAAGAACCATTCAGCCATACCTAAACCCTAAACCCTAAACCCTAAACCCTAAACCCTAAACTCTAAACCTTCTGCAAAAAAGGACCCAGGAGCAGGCCCGTCCTTCTCGTAGAGTCTCAGAAAGCCTTCCAGCTGGATCCCCTGATGAAAAGAGCCAGGGCTTTAGGGTTTAGGGTTTAGGGCTTTAGGGTTTAGGGTTTAGGGTTTAGGGTTTAGGGCTTTAGGGTTTAGGGTTTAGGGTTTAGGGTTTAGGGCTTTAGGGTTTGGGGCTTTAGGGCTTTCGGGTTTGGGGACGTGAGTCGAGGGGTCTTTTTTTCAACATGCGATGAGGGTCGGCTAGCCTAGGGTTTAGGGTCGAATATAGGGGCCTTAAGGGTATGTTATACTATAATGATATGAAGGAACCCCCAAAACCCTATTCTAATTCTTAAGGCCCCTACACAAGTTCCTACTATAATTGTAAAACCCCTTATGCATGCTGC